CCAGAAATGGCCATTCCGGTCTCCCTTGTCTTTGTCGGTATTACCTTTCCAACATATATATATATATATATATATATATATATATAAAGTGGTAGGGGGCGCTGACCGATCGTTCCTACGGAACTTACTTATTCCGTTGTGCCTTACGGGCTCTCCCTCGAGTTCAACCAGCAGTCGCACAGCGGCGCATGATATAGGCAGAATGGCATTACGGACAAAGACAAGGGAGACTGGAATGGCCATTTCTGGCTTATTAGCCGTCGTCAGCCAGTCATACCCAACACCGAAGTGTGCAACACCCGAGGCTCGAACTCGAGGCATGTTAGTTAGAAGTCCACGCCTCTAACCACTGGGCAACGAGCCCGCTGCCCTGTCGGTTTCGATCGAAATCGGCATATCGATTTAGATGCCACATACAAAATCGTTGAGGACAGATTCAAACTGACTCAACCAATCCCGAGATGATGACCTTAACCAATCACAGAATTCTTTTGCCAGATTCAGTCTAGAAGTTAATTGTTTTTGCACGCCCGTTGTCTGAAGACGAGCTGGGGAACCAGTCTCGAAAATTTACACAATAAAGTTTGCTGTTTCCCAGAGAACCTCGCCTTTCTAATTATACTTCTTGGCTTGCCTGTTTTTCAATGTATGTGGATATATATATATATATTCGAAAGAAATAAGCTCTTCGGGAAAGATAAACAAGTTTTATTGTAAATTTTTGACCTTGGTTCCCCAAGTCGTCTCCAGACGTGAAGCATGAAAAACAGCTAACACTTAAACATGCGAAAAAATCGATTTTGCCAAAAGCTGCCCCGGGTGAGGTTCGAACTCACGACCTTCAGATTATGAGACTGACGCGCTAACCAACTGCGCTACCGAGGCACGTTTAAATGGTAACTGTTTTGCACACTTACTTCACGTCTGAAGACGACTTGGGGAACCAAGGTCGAAAATTTACAATAAAACTTGTTTATCTTCCCCGAACAGCTTATTTCTTTTGAATTATGATTCTTGGGATGCCTGTTTTCAAATTCATACGTATATATATATATATATATATATATATATATGAAAAAAGGAAGAGGTTCTTCGGAAAAATCGAGTTGTACTCGTAAATTTTTTTTCGAGCTGATGACACCAACCCGTCGTCAGATGAAATGAAAACAAGGGAGAAAGTTGTCACACTGGACTAGTTAGCTCGACAGGACAGACAGACTATTGGCTCGTGAAGAGGCAATAGGGGACAACCTGCCATTTCTTGACGTGATAATACAGAGGCAGAGCGATGGTAGTCTCGCGACGAGCGTCCATAGGGAAGGATTTGATTCTGAAATTATCCTCAGCTATGGAAGCAACCACCCCGCGGCTCACAAAAGAAGGTGCGTCCGAACTCCGTTCCACCGAGCCTATCGTTATTGCAACAGCGACGATCTCCTTAAGAAAGAGCTTGTCTACAGTATGTGACCTATCTCATGAAATCTGATAGCGGAAACTGATCAGGGAATTTTTGAACGCCTTTAACGTTGAGCATTTTGTTCGCTCATCCACTTCCTCCAATAAAATTTCCTTTTCTTGTGCAGAAATTGTGTTTACGTAATTATATCATATATATCAGTAAATTTTAGCGAAAAGGGACATTGGAATATATTCGTGCAATTTCCTAGGCTTATACATGTCCTAGACTGCAGTTACGCATCTGAGCGACTTTTTCATTGAAAGGATAGTAATTTACCCTCGAGAGTTTTAATAAACAGATTTGGCCAAACTTGAAAATTTATTTTATGTCCGATGTTAACCATGATGATCAATCTGCTAAGACAGAGATTATTTATGAAAACTAGTGGTTTTATCAATTTCTAAATATCAAATTAGAAGATCTGTGGGATTTGGTGCGCAAAAGTGCAGTAATAACGCACATAGGGATTCCTTCGTTTAAGTGGGCTGAAATTTGTTTTGCCTTTTGGAAAATTATACCAGATGTCACATAGATGACCACAACGGAGTGGTTATTTCCAGCTTTAAACATATGCCCTACTCCCCCTCCCCCCAATACGGTGAACCACAGCTGGGACCCACAACACCTACCCTCACCTCCTGTACCCATCGCAACAAGATGCACACCTCCCCCTCGCAAGGTCGTCTGTTTACCTCTCTGTCTGCGTCCTCAACCAGCCGAGTGACAATTCCACCTCTCACTTTTCACTTTGTCTGACGGCGGGTTGGTGAAACCAGCTCGAAAATTTACGAGTAAAACTCTATTTCCGACGGACTTCCTCCTTTCATCATATCATCTCGGAATGCATACTACTTCAATTATTCATATGAAACACTACTTGTCGTGTAGTTTGGCCTCTGTGCATATCTTATTCAGAAATAGGACGAGCAAAACATTTATAGTTTCAGCAAAATATCAGTATTTATATGGGCGCTCTGCCGTGCATTCCTAAACGAAGAACGGAGTCTAAAAGCAAGCAAAAACAGTGGAAGTAGAATACATTATATACATTTCAAAACAAAGTTTACTAAATTAGAGCCATTTCTGACGTTTTCGGGATATTGCGCTTTTCAAAATAAATCGACATTTCTCAACAACGCAATACTGCCTATAATATTTCCTTCATGTTTTTAATTCCATTAAACTTGTACTTAATTAACATAGGCATTCCACTCATGAAATGGTGTCGGTTTGCGAGTGATTGGAAATCTTTCGTTAGTTTTGACACATTTCATGAGTTAGGTCACTAACTGTACCTGTATCGATTGTCTCGATCTAACGGATATCCGACAAGTTTGTAAAAAACTGCCTCAGACACCAGGCACAACCGCAAGCTCCCACCCTTAACGGGGAAATTATGTCTCGACAATTTTTCTCCCTGCCCTACATGCAAGGAACGTCCGAAGTAATCACCCGGCAGTTAAATCGCTCTGGTATTCGCATCGCCCATAAACCAGCATCCTCACTACGCGCAGCACTATCTCGAATCAAGGACCCCCTCCCCAAAGAGCAACAAACAAACGTAATTTATCGCATCCCGTGCTCAAATTGCTCTTGCGTGTATGTTGGTCATACAGGTCGAAGCCTGGGCACCCGCATTAATGGACACAAACTGGCCGTCCGTCGGCGAGACCCCCTGTCCCTCGTCTTTGCTCACGCACTCGAGTGGGACCACCGATTTAATTCGGATGGCACTGAGGTCGTCGCCATGGCTAACAGAAAACGGGCGAGAGAATTTCTCAAGGCTTGGTACTCCAATGCTGGTAGTATCGACCGCCATGTTGACCTGGACGCCCATTACGAGGGCCTACGCTCACGACTTACCGCCCCCTGCCCTAATGCCACATCAACGGCCGCTAATCCAGCCACCCGGAGTCCAATTGATCCACCATTACACCCTCCCCCTCCAGCACAGGTATCCGTAATTTTTCCGCCTCCCCCCTCGCTCAGAGACCTACCATGACTTTGTGACCATCCCTCTTATAGGCCAATAGTCTGTCTGTCCTGTCGCGCTAACTAGTCCAGTGTGACAAACTAACTTTCTCCCTTGTTTTCATTTCGTCTAACGACAAGTTAGTGTCACCAGTTCGAAAAAAAATTCACGAGTACAACTCGATTTTTCCGAAGAACCTCTTCCTTTTTTCCTTATATCGGCTCGGAATGCATACCACCTCTGATCTACAGTTATATCGTACTCCCGACATAAGTACAAGGTAAAAAATGGGCTTTTAGCTTGCACCTATGTCGGAGATACGGTATGGCCATCTGTCATCTAAAATTATATTACTAATAATACTAGTTGTTTATGGGATGGACATTAAGTGGTTATTCCACCGTAGTTGATTGTCTCCGACTTAAAAGTCCATTGAAATTTAGGGGTTGACCGTAGAAAGTCATGTCCCGGGAACTTAACCCCATGTCCGTCATTTAGTAATTTCTGAAATTATTACCATGATAAATACATATTTGGAGTAGGTGAGATTCTTTTGGAGAAAAATTACCTTTACTGCGTAAGTTATCGAGACTCGTTCCACAGCTCCTCGTCAGACTGGATCGTGTAGAAAAACAGTTAACTATGTAACCGTGTCGAACAAGTGATTCTGTGGCTGGCCGAAGCCTGCGCCAATGCGTGCCAATCGTATTTCGTCAGCCCCTCGGCACTGGCCGCGTTCACTTTCATGCATACATATATATGTATATTCCATGAGAACCTTCTACCAAGTTTACTGGAATACTCTAACTATGCACAAAGAAAATGATCGCCCAACTTCTCCCTTTTGGAGGTACGTCTCCCCTTCATGCAGGTTACCTCAAGCCGTATAAGGCAATCGGGTGGGCACCAAGATCTTGGAGTCTGAGTTCCCTTGATGTCAAAAATACCCCAAAACCCACTCAGGCGAATTTTACGCTCGGTCTGACAGCCAGACACACAATTATCAAGAAAAAGGTCACCAGCGAGTTGGGCAAGTAATTTTTTTCATAATACAGATGAAAGACGGTGTACAATGGAAGGTTTATACAAGAGTTAGTGTCACTTCTGCGAAAAATCCTTCAGTATGTCCTGCAGGTGTTCATTATCCTTTAACTTAACGGGTCGATTGGAGGCTCGCTTCCGTCCGGCCTGTTTCTGCTTGGTTGCCAGAGTCTGGAAATATGCATAAATAAGTACGAAAACGTTCTACTAATTTATTAATAGTAGCAATACTTTAACGATATAAAGGTCCATCTCAATACCAGCATACGGGGAAGAAACCCTGCAAGCATAGAAAAGAGACAACGGTTTACTTACAAAGATCTTCCTGTCCGCGGACATGGATGTGATGCCATTGCGGCGTAGATACTCCTCTATCTTAACCTCATGCATTCCCTCAACACTTACAGCCCTCCACAACTGTTTGAATTCTAAAAATAAGTCGACAATGGAGTAGGACAATTTAGGAATTTTCAGTGACTTTACTAGTTGCAAATATGAAAGTTTCAAACAAAATTACCTAAAAACAGAGATAAACGTGACACGCCATTTGCGTTATCATCTTAGATAGAATAGCCAGCCAAAAACCTCCATTCCGAGGTCGAGGTGTCGGCAACCACGACGGAGACAAACAACCGGTGACAACAATGAACGAGAAACCTGCGCCTTATATCCAAGGCGTCCCCCAGGCTACAGATAGCAGTGCACAGCCAGAGCGTGCACACCGATGACCGGATAAATCCGGACCGGCAGTCTAGTAGTATCAGACACATTCGGTAGGTCAAGCGCCCACGTAACTAAATAACTCCCATGGGAGACTAAATATGTACAGTAGATGACCTAACTCAGGAAATACCGAGATCAGTATTGGAGTTGGTGATACGGCGTGTATTTGGTGTGGTTAGTTTTGTTTTTAGAATTGGTTGGAAGCCCAGAAGGCCTTTATTAAGGAAGAATTCATGATAGGTCTGTTTTATTGAGAGGAAACAGGCTAAGATTAGACAAGATTGGACGTTTCCGGAGATCCGCGTAGCTTCATGTGCTAATAAGTATCACCTATTAAAATCTCTTATTTGCGCGCGTTGCTTTGTATTGGAACATTCATATAACAAGGAAACATATTAAAGAAATCTATTCTGGGAACGGACATTGTGATTTTGAGTTCATTAAAATCAGATCAAGGCAGGTATGTTAAAAAGCATTCTCCTCGTGAAACAAGGAGCACTCTGCTCTTAACAAATTTTATTTAGCAAAATTGTAACGCTTTTTGTCGTTAAACGCAGTAATAAGCTTGTTCGACGTATATATAGACTACGGGCTACATGTTGCCAGTTTTATGTGCCACGCCGTGCAAGTCCTATAGGAAGAAAACTGAACGGATACGAAAATTGGCAGCCGAAGGGCTCTCGCGTGAGTCGTTAGATAGTATTTTCGATCTGGCCAGATAACTCTGTGGAGGATTATTAATGATAAAACGGTGCCTAGAGTTAAGCAAGGTGGACCAAAACGGTCCACAAGTAGGCACGACGACGATTCCATTCGTTGAACACTAAAAAATATCATTATATTCTCCCTAAGGCTAATTATAGGGAACACTTGTTAATGTTTTCTTTGCGCATAATTAGAAAAAGGATGAAGGAACTCGACCTCCATCAGCAAAACGTTTTGACAATGCCATTTTTAAGTAGGAAACTTATTAAAAAACGTTATTTGCTCAAAAATACACTGATCACGGACTTTCCTTTTGGAAAAGCATTTACTTTTGTGATGAGGTCCTATTTTTAGACAAGCCGCCGAAGTCGACCCATGTGGTCATATGTGGGAAGGACATTGTATCAACACCAACTTTCAAGAACTATCGAGGCCTGATGGTTTGGATGGCCGTCAAGTTCGGAGAGCAACCAATCTGGCATTCAGCAACGGAGACGATAAATAGCAAGGTGTTCATCGACATCGTAAAGGACGCCTTCGGTTACAACGGCATTCATCGACGTCGAATGGACACCGTAATGTTACAGGACAACCCCCTGCCCGCTGTTTAAAGGAGGTATTATTTCAGTTCAGCTTACGACTATAATCTAAAATTTCAGACCACAGTCAACCTCTCCGCCTGTGGCCTTCAAACCACTTTTATCTCCGCCAATAGCCCGGATCTGAACCCAATCGAAAATATTTTTTTCGTTAACTAAAAGGAAATGGGACCAGGCAGGAGAAGATCTTTCAGTGCAGCAAAAGTTAGATTTTGTGCTTAATAATTATATAGACCAAACCACCGTAGACAACTTGGCAGTTTCTATGCCCTCCTGGATTACGGCAACTTTCAAATCTGAAGGACGATTTACAAACTCCTAATACGTTGTATTTGTTACTGTTTTTCATCACTTTGTTGCTTTGCGACATTTTCCTTCTCAGCTGACAGTTATATCAAGCCTTAACTGATTGACCTGTCATAAAGTCGTTTTTTGACTTGGTGGTTTTTCGTAAAATACGCCATTTCTTGGTCAGTAAAGAATACTGTGTAGACCAAAACGTGCCTTTTCTGAAGCTCGGTCGTATCTTTAGTGCAGTATAACCTTCGTGGATGCGGACTGGGGGGTTCGTGCGCTAGAGCGATTTTAGTTCGCAGTTCGTGACCCTTCAGGAGATAGGTCACGAACTGTAGGTCTGGCTGCCTGAGCAAAGGATGATCTCTAGATGGAAGTCATGTCATATCTTGTGGCTGCTCACAATTCTAGAGTGAAGTCGAACTGTCAACCTTGTTGCTACAGAGAAGACTGCCCAAACAAAACCTTGTGTGGCAGGCGGCCGAGGCATAGGAACCTGAACTCCGTCCCCCCTCCTCTTGGACAGTGATTTCGACTTCAAATTTAAGCCAATGGCCTGCATTTAACCTGCATATAAACATTTCCACAGCACGCGGAAACTCACCTTCCTTTATGCCCAGATCGAAGGACTTATCGTTGTAAAAGAGGACGACCTTTTTGTCGTGTGGGGTGACAACCTGGATGACATGATCTCCAAGACTCTGTAGATAAAAATAAATCAGCAAAATTATGAAGGCCACACTAATGCTTGATTGAATCTTTGAGGTTATGTTAAAGCCTGTCATTAGGTTTAGCGTTCGATGAGAAAAGTCGACATAAAAGCGATAACAACAATAGTTGGCAGCTATAACGACTAAAACGATTACCTGTCCTGATAAAAAGCATGCCAGCGTAGTTGCGCTATTATAATATGCTGGCAGAAAAGTTTACGTTAGTAAAGATTCAAAAGCGCTTTTTAGTACTTTGAAGATGGTGAACGTCGGAGACAGATTAGTTACCTGGACAACCTTGTCAACGTCCGCAACAGCCTCAGCTAAATCATCCAAGTAGATACCTCCGAGGCCTCTGAATTCGTGCCTTTTAAGTAGCTGATACAATTCTTGTCTGTTCCGAACGTCATACTTCGGCTTAAAGACAAATTTGCCATCAGCGGTAGAGTGAATTTTTGGATTGTTCGGCAGTGCCTGTAAAAAATGGCAAATAATTTACTAAGGTGGCAGCCTGTGAAATTGAGTCAAAGTAAAAAGGGAAACAACCAACGGGGCAGGGTGTGGTGGTTCGCTTGTCGTCAGTGACGAAGAACCTTCTCGCTACAGTATATGCGTGAATGAATTTCCTTGAAGCAGAATGCACTTGCATCTCAACATCTCCCCTCATGCCTAGCATGTTCCAATGACAGAAAAAGAGTTTATACAACAAGGCGTTGGGCGTGGACGCAGTGGCTGGCACAGCTTCGCAGCCACGTGCCAGTACCCCCCCCCCCCTACCCGAAGAG